ATGAATCCTTTATCAAACTAGGAATCTATGTACTTATCCTAAACCACATGTATTTATCTCCAATAGTCTACGACTTCAACAAATCAGAAGAACATAACACGATTATAGAATCATTCACATTAGGAATTATTACTCTGTTTTAAGCGTTTAAATTATATAAAAAAATGCATAGAAGATACGACCCCCATGAGCAGTACTCACCTTTCATAACATGTTTTTTACAAAACTAGACTAATCTAAAGTTCGTCACAAGATTCTTTTGTGCAATTAATTCCGATGAAACCAACCATATGTAAGTGGCGGCAAATGAGAAATTGGCGGCTCGACCTAACTTTTTAGTCATGAAGGAAAGAAGCGGATGCTAATGAAGAGACGTAAGAGTTTTAGTAACAACTTTGAGGTGAAGTCTTATTTCAATAATTCACCAAATTGGCAAATTGTGTTTCACGTGTCCAACTTCGCTAATGCTATATCTATATCAGCTTTTCTATAATGTTTTGTTTGTCACTTACAACTATTTTAGACACATCTGTCCATCTCATTTCTTAAATCTAAAATAATGTGTTAACATGTGATGATTTTTGTCGAAAAATCAGATTTAAACTATACATTTTTCGTAGAAAATAATTAAATAAGATCAATGAATAACGGTGATAATGGTTTAATGTCGGTGTGGGCCTAAACTTGTCAATTCACGTAGAAAATACCTAGCTTAATTTAGTTAGTGTATTAATTTGTCCAAATTTATCCTTTATCAACAACAACAAAAAAATTGCACAATTTAGTTCAAGTACGTATGTAACTGATGGTCATAATTCATGCATGAATTGATCATTTTTCCATGTTCTAAGGAAAGTTTTGCTTTCAAACATTGAATTATTTTAATCTTTTGATTCTGTTTATTTTCCTTTTATCTTAATCTTGTTTTATTCTCTCAAGATTTTTAATTTTGTTGGGTTCAAATTTTAAAATCTCTGGTTGTATTATTTAGAGTTAATTACTAGAATGACTTTGGAAAGTAGGGTAATTACTAGAATGACTTTGTCAAATCTAGTAACTTGACACAACTCGATAAAAGATAAATAAACTTTAATAATCTATTTTATTTACGCAACTGCCATCCTGAAACCTAAAAAAAAAAAAACTTATAAATCTATCATAACTACCCAATAAGTCTACCACCACATGTATACGTTGGAAATTCTTTAAACCAATAAATAAAACATTTGTTTGAAACCACCGTCGCGGAGGCTGCGGAAGCACCGGATCGTGCTCGGCGAAGGTGGGGAGGCTGCAGAAGCACCGAGATTTAGGTAAAAATTGAACTAAAAATCAAAAGTTGAAAAAAAAACTCAAAATCTTTTGATTTTTTGTTAGAAAATGGATATATGATGTTAGATCTACTAGTTTTAGGCTAAAACCAGTTGAAAACAAATTAAAACACAGCAAAAACGAGCTAAAAATGAGTTGGCCGCCATTGTTAGGGTTTGACATAAGCTTGGGTGTGTTGGAGAAGATGAAGGGTAAATTACGATCTTGTCCTTCATTGAATAAATCTACCACTACTATAAATAAATATTATAACTCTACCACTACTACAAATAAGTTTACCACATATTATAAATCTACCACTACCACATATTATAAATCTACCACTATTATAAATAAATCTACCACAACTGTAATTAAGTAAGGTCATTCTAGTAAAACTCTGAAAAGATTTAATAAGTCTACCACAAAGACAAATAAGTCTACCAAATTTAATAAATCTACCACAACTTTAAACAAGTCTACCATCGAGCGAAACCAGAATTAAGTCTACCACCACTAAATATAAGTCTATCAGATATTATAAATCTACCACTACTATAAATAAGTCTACCATCGCTAAACATCAATAAGTCTATCAATCAAAAAATTAAATCTACCATCACTACAAATAAGTCTACCTATCATAAAATTAAGTCTACCAGTACTACAAATAAGTCTACCACATCTTATAAATCTATCACTACTATAACAAAATCTACCATCCCGCAAACCATTAATAAGTCTACCATTACTACTAATAAGTCTATCACTCACAAATAAATCTACCATAACTATAAATAAGTCTACCATCGCACGAACCATCAATAAGTCTACCAATCACAACAATAAATCTACCACAACCACTAATAAGTCTACCACTCAAAAATAAATCTACCACAACTATAAATAAGTCTACCACTACAACGCATAAGTCTACCGTAACTACTCAATAAGTCTACCACAACTTACAATAAGTCTACCACTACTTACAATAAGTCTACCACTACTATAAACAAGTCTACCACTGCCTGCACCGTAATAAGTTTACCGACCACTTTATAAATCTACCACTACTACAAATAAGTCTACCGATCCCAAAATTAAGTCTACCAGTATTACGAATAAGTCTACCACATATTATAAATCTACCACAACTATAAATAAGTCTACCATCGCGTACGCCGTAATAAGTCTACCAGACGTTTAATAAGTCTACCGTAACAGAATGGTAGACTTATTTAATTTTGGCGGGAAAAAATTTCGGCTTCATTAATGGCAGTTTCGTAAATATATTTTTTGTCTTCAAATGAAATAAGGTTAACACAGGAATTAAAAAATTTTCAAGGTCATTCTAATAATATTCAAAGATAGAGGTCATTCTAATCTAAATCTTTGCTTGACAAGGTCATTCTAGTAAACCACCTTATTATTTATTACAAAGGGACGTTTACATAAAGGAAATAAAAGAAAAAGGTGCCAAAACCAAGATCAGACCTTTTAGGGTGCCAACCTTTTTGAGTCTTTTTGTTTTTTTGGGTCACATGCCTTTTGAGTCTTATTTTATCCTCACAAATTTGCTGTCAAACCTTAAAAGATCTATAATTATTTTACACACTCATCTCCATGTTTCAAGAATCTTGTTTTGTATCTACATGAAAGCTTTGCTCGTAATAAAAATCAACAAACTCGTTGACTCTGTAAAACCCTCATGTGTTAAGTTCCAAGTAAGTATCTTTAGCTTTTGCTCCCAAGGAAAACATTGTTATTGATCCAATACTTGAATTTTGGAACAGGTTTTACGTTCTTTTACGCTCTCTGTAACAATTTGAAAATGGCAGATAGATACGAGAACCAAGCTCCTGAGAAACTTCAGGTTAGTTTCCACACTCAAAACTCATATTCAAAATATTTCATGGTTTTTCCTCAAATTCTTGTTTATGTCTGATTTTTGTTTTTATAGAGAAAACAGGGGAAGTATCAAGCGATGGTTGTTTGCTGCATTCTTGGAATCGGATCTCTTGTTTCTTGGAATAGTATGCTCACTATCGCAGATTACTACTACCAAATTTTCCCGGTTCGGTTTCGGTTCAACAGTTCCCATATTCAAAATTGGCTCTTCAAATCTGATGTTTTGTTTTGGTTATCGAAAACAAATTTATTCTTCACCAAATTTGGGGAAGAAGAAGAATGGACAAATATAGGGAGGGTATTTAGAAAATTTAGAATATATAAAAAAAAAAATTAACCTAATAATGAATAAATATGGTTTCACTAATAGAATTTCATAAAAATATTTAAATATTTATTTACATTATTCTTCTAATGTTCATCACTCGGAAAGCCTCAACTTTGTGTAGGCTTATCATCCGTCAAGGGTACTACCACTTGTATACCAACCATTTGCGCTTGGAACAATCGTGATTCTCGCATACCACGAATCAAAAATCAATACTCGAAAACGTATCCTGATCGGTTACACTCTATTCACAATATCCACTTTCTTGATCATATTCGTAAGTTCTAATTTAAGTCTAAATTAATCTTCTAATTATGGAACTGGATTTTGAATATGGGCTCAAGACTCTAAAAAAACTCAAAAACAGTTGGATTTGACAACTAAAGGACAAGGTGGAATCGGAAATTATATCGGTTTATGCACAATCGTTGCTTCTTTTGGCGTCGCGGATGCTACAGTTAAAGGAGGAATGATCGGTGATTTATCTTTGATGTGCCCTGAACTCATCCAGGTTTATCAATTTTAACAGATTCTTGGTCTCTGGTTTAGATAAAATGGTTAAGTTAAACCGGTTTTTACTATATGTATACTATTTCTTGCTTCTTTGTAGTCATTCATTGCCGGTTTGGCTGTAGCTGGTGCTCTAACCTCGGCGCTTAGGCTAATAACTAAAGCAGCCTTTGAGAAATCAAATGACCGTCTACGAAAAGGAGCAAGTGAGTTTAACATTTTCTCGGATATTTCAAATCCAAAAAACCAATATTTTCAAAGTGTTTAAAAGTTCCATATTTTTGCTCTGATTTTTACCCCCTTTTGTAGTGATATTCTTAGCAATGTCAACATTCATAGAATTCCTCTGCGTGATGCTATACGCTTATGTGTTCCCAAAACTTCCCATTATTAAGTATTACCGAAGAAAAGCCGCTTTCGAAGGATCCAAAACTGTTGCTGCTGATCTTATTGCTGCTGGTATTCAAAATCAATCAGATTTGGTAACTTTAAATTCCTCAAGAATCTATCTTTTATTGGTTTATTGATCTTGATTCTTTTCTTTTAAAGATTCTTTACTCTTCAGTATTTTAGCTACATGATTTTTCTATGCAGACTAATGATGATTCCAAGAATCAAAGACTAAGCAAGAAAGAGCTATTGCTTCAAAACACAGACTATGCAGTGAATCTATTCCTCATATACGTTTTGACATTATCCATCTTTCCTGGGTTCTTATACGAGAACACGGGACAGCACGGGCTAGGCACTTGGTACGCGCTTGTCCTAGTAGCGATGTACAACTTTTGGGATTTGGTCGGGAGGTATATGCCACTTGTGAAATGGCTGAAGCTTGAGAATAGAAAAGGACTAATGGTTGCGGTTTTATCTCGTTTTTTCCTCGTTCCGGCGTTCTACTTCACTGCGAAATATGGTGATAAAGGATGGATGATTATGCTCATTTCTGTTTTGGGGTTAAGTACAGGACATCTCACTGTTTGCACTCTCACCATAGCTCCTAAAGGTTACAAGGTATCTACTATTTTTAAAAATATAAACATATTTTTTTACGT